TGTGGGTATATCAATAGGAATGGAATTGTTGGATCATATAGTAATTCTGTGTTTATCTTTTTGAGGAATTGCCAAATATCTTTCCAAAAATCTTATTTTCTTAAAGTAATTTGTCTTCATGAAGACTTTCTAAGACATTCAACTTTGCTTTTACATAAGCAAGAGCTGTCTTTACTTTTGGTCGTATGTGTTGACTATTTCTAGGACCATTTAATTAACTTGCCCAATTACAATAAGTCTGAATATCATAAACAGGTTTATAAATGTATTACAATTGATACTTAACCAGTAAGAATAAAAGTGCTTAGAGAATAACTTTCAACAATGAGCTCCAGCATGCAGTGGGCATCAGCCACTATGTATTGCAGAACTCTGAGGGAATGGACAATGCTCTTTAATCTGACCAGTTAAGTGGAAGCGGCAAAAAAAAAAAACAAAAAAAAACCCAAAAAACAAAAACCTAAATTATCTTTGTGATTGATAAGTTGTAAAAAGAAATTCAGAAGTGAGTGACTGGTGGATCTAGGTAAAAAACATCAGCTGTATGTCTATGGCTATTAACATTCTATACCCTTGTTCAGAGATTGGATGAAGGTAGACAGCAAAAGCTAAAATGGAGCAAGAAGTTAATTGAGCTGGTCACTTTTTGTAGAAAGTTTTGAATTTAAGAAAATGGTAATGAACAGTAACAGCGGGTTAATTTCCCATGCCTTCTTCACTCACACTTTAGTGTAGATGATAAATGAGATGTAAATAGTGAACTCTGGGGGTTGTGCCTATTCTTAGTAGAGAAGTGCCTTTCAAATTAAGATTTGAGATTTTGAGATGTGATTAGGTTTTCTAGACTGTTCTGAAGCAAAATCATGAGGCTTTGGGAGGAATACTTTTATATAGCATCATTCATCTTTGTTAGCAACCCAAGTGATTAAAGGTTTGGGCAGCCTGCTAATATGGTCTAAAGGAACTGGGTTTATTCAACTTAGAGAGAGAAAGCAAGCACATAGCGGGGACTTAGTAATAGTCTCTGAGAATATGAGGGATATTCTCTGAGTGATAGAAAGCAGCTGTTTCCTGTTTGCACTAAGGACTGGATAAGAACAGAGTTAAATTGTAATAAGTGGGTTTAAGAACTTTTTGGCCTTATAGTTGAAGACAATAAACCCATAAGACTAGAGTTACTTCTCTTTCAGAATTATGTAGCTAACCGACTGTCTTTCTCGGGTGACCTGTTTTTGAATCTTGGACTAGTAAAGAGATCTGGAAGCCCTTTCACCCAAGTGAGTGTGAAATTGTCCTTTGTCCAATCTTACCAGTGTTCTGTGGTATAGGAAGTATACTTACAAGGCAAGATTTGGTTCTCAGAGGACTGACTGCTATCTCTCAATCTTTTAATGAGTTTTAAAAGGAAAAAAAATCAGTTTTCTTTGTTCTCCTTTGGTCTCTCTCTCTTTTTAAGAGATTTTTGCTGTAGGGCACATGTACTTGGCAGTGAGACAGAGAGACAGAAAGTGAGAAATCACCCCCTAGGGGAGCCAGGCCACAATGCCTTCTCCATTCTCCTCTCAAGATTTTGGGCACACACAAACATGTGCCTGGCATGAATCTTTTTTGAGCCACTGGGTCTAGGACTTGAACCATGGTTGACTACATGGGAGTCCAGCAATATAACCTTTACACCATCTGCTGGTTTCCCCCTTTGATCTCTCTCTCTCTCTCTCTTTTTTAGAGAGAGATTTTTGCTATAGGGTGCATGCACTCTCCAGAGAGACAGAGAGAGACAAAGAAATAGGAAGTGAGAAATCACCCCCAGGACTGGTGGCTACATCACCATCCCTTCTCCATTCTCCTCTTAAGATTTTGGGCGCACATGCACAAGCTCCCACTTTGAGTTTAAGCTGTTGAGCCTGGGACTCGAACTGTGGTCAACTATGTGGGAGTGTAGGGATGTAGCCTTATGCCATCTGCTGGCCCCTTTTTGGCCTCTTTTTAAAGCAAGGTGATCTAGGTTTTCACCTTAAGAATTTTCATAGATTTGCCAGTATGTGTTTTTTCCTGCCTATTTGATTAATATGGCCATGATTTAATTTAACTTAATTAATTAATTTATTTGGAGAGTTTTTTGCTATAGGGAAGACAGACAGAAAGCAAGAAATCACCCTCCAAGGGGGATGGCCACACCACAATCCCTTCTCCTCCATTCTCTTCTTGGGATCTTGGGCATGCACGCACACACGCCCAGTGTTTAAGCCATTGGGTCCAGGACTCTAACTGTGGTCAACTACATGAGAGTCCAGCGACATAGCCATTACACCAACTGCTGGTCCCAATTTTATTTTTAAATGACAGATAAAACTGAATGTATTTATATATATATGCACTGTGGAATAGTTAAAACTAATTAACAAATGTATTACCTCACATAGTTATCATTTTATGGTAAGAACACTTAACATCTACCATCTTTATATTTTTCAAGAAAATAATATGTCATCATTAACTGTGGTTGCCATACCATACGATAGATCTCTTGAAATTATTCCTCCTCTGTGACTGTTACTACATATACTTTTACCAAGGTCTCCCTATCTCTCTTCTCCCGTAACCACCCCAGCCTCTGGTAACTACCATTCTACTTTCTACTTCCATGAGATCTAAGTTCTCAGATTCCACAAATATAAATTCTATGTCTTCCATGAGACTGTCTCTCTCTCTCTCTGTGTGTGTGTGTGCTTATGTCATAGACATTTAATACAAGTATATATTTTTTATATAAAATTAATTATATGGTGGAATGTTTTGTTCTATGTAATGTGTCTAAAGGTTAGCTATTGAAGGTAAATAAGATATACACTGTGCTAATTAGGAGCAGAGTACATATGCAGAACATTGGATAATAAGGCATCATTACAGGAGATCAGCTAGAGGAAGAATTTAAAAACAAACAAATGAGTTCTGAGAATGTTATTAATTTTTAGCCAGTGACACAGATGGAGATGCCGGAAAGCTTCTTCTTGACCATTTTTTAATCATTGTTATCCCATAGCAGTTTAATTATACCATTTGCCCAACTGAGAGTATTTTCAAGGCAAGGTTTGGTTCCCAGAGGGCCAACTGCTATTAAAATATGTTTTAAAAGTTGCAGCTTTATTTCAGCATTAACTGTGCATACATTCCACCACGTTATATCTTTATCTTATACCAACATTTATTATAATGTTATTTAAAAATCTTTGCCTTTACCACTGACTATTTTCTAACATATGGAAAGTGGTAAGGGTGAATCTTGATCCAGCTCTGACTCCCACAACTTTTTTGGCCTTCAAAAATCCAGCATTGAAGTGAGAAAATGACTTGATTGCTTTGAATCCTCTCTCTACACTTGTTCATTGTAAGGCATTAGGTGAGTTATTTAACCTCCCTGAATTTTAGTTTCCTTAATCTACTTTACAGGAAGATTTTAAAAATTAAATGAAATGAAATAATGTGTGCCAAACCCAGAGCCCAGGTGTGCCCAGCCTTCAAGTCATGTTTATTTTCTTCCATTAGTTCAAAAAGATTTTCTCTTGCCTATGATAGAACTATGATTACTTCTAAATTCTCTTAGCTAAGTGGGATTTATTGTACCATAGGGGTGGGTCTGTGGAGCAGAATTTGTCTAAAATTTGTGAGGGCTCTCAAGAGTCCAATTGTATGAATATGTTTCCTTTTCTATATTTACTTAATTCCGAAAAAATGTCTACTCTACTACCAAATAGTCCAAGAAGTATTTGTTGCCAAATTGCCTAAACAAATCCTCCATGTATATGCTTGGAAGGAAAGCACATCTTAAAATCAATAGGGATATTAAGCATTTTTGTTTTACAAGGTTTAAGGGAGAGTTAATACATCTTCTAGACATTCAGATAGTTATTTAATAGACATTGATTCAGTCAAATGCTGTGCTTTGAAATGGTATCAAATTGAAGACATGCTCCCTGATCTGGGAATGTTTGTGAATGTGTTGGGGAGACCAAACCCATATGTATCAAATGAGCACAGAGTCATTAGACTCAATATCAGAAACAGAAGTTTAAAACAGTAGGGCTTGAGCCCGTAAGTACTGAGGAAAGACAGGGCCCAAGGATTGGGTAGGTATTTATTGTTGCTCTAGGAAATACAGCTTGTGTTTTGGTTCACAAAACATGATCGTTTCAAGGTAGATTTAAAAAATAAAACCAAAGAAACACACCAGAAATATTCCCTTCCTATAGAAACCTAAGAACACACTGTAGTTCTTTATTGAATTGAAGTAAATGCATCTTTCTAAAGTCTCAGTGTTCAGCTGGTTTGCTTTCAGGCTTTCATCTACACACTAAACCAGACACTCCAGCCCAAACTCATTCTTAGTCCACAGGATATGGACTATCTTTATAAATCATTAACAAGACACACTGAGAGTAAAAATCCCAACTAGAGACTTACCTCAAAAGCTGAGGCATGAAATATATTTTAATGCCAGTGAATTTAGGAAACTAGGTTGGGACTTTTCTCTCGCTCTTAGAGGGAAATTTATAATTTAATGCCTTTGGAGAGTAAGCACAGGTCCTCTAAACTGGACCTCTTCTTCTGTCCCTCCTTGTACTCCCCTCCCCAAATTAAATAAGTAGGGAAGCAGAACAACAAAACCATTAACTTAATAGCATAGAATTTATGGCTGAAGTCTTGCAAAGCTTATGTCAGCAAAGTAAAATAATTACTGTCACTTTCTGTCAGACACTTGGCTTTATGGGTCCTGTCACCTTTATCATAACACACAGCTGATTTAGTAGCTCTATTTTTCATGGCAAATGGCCTGGTGTTATGTTTTTATGTATGGGCCTTGCTACTGAGATGACAATACGTGGATATACGAGAGTGGAACTAAATTTAGATAATGAATTGGGATAGTCTTAATGGTTTCTGGTTTAGTCATGTTGTCAGTATGCCAGCTGAACTTTTTCTGTTGCTCTTTTCCCCTCTAGATTCTCAAATCCAAAGACTTAACATCTCCAACCCAGCGCTACATTGACAGCAAAGTCGTGAAAACAAGAGCAGAAGGCGAATGGCTCTCTTTTGATGTAACTGATGCTGTTCACGAGTGGCTTCACCATAAAGGTTACAAACCACTCTCTTTCCTCTTAGATGTTCAGTAGCTTTAAGTTATGGTAAACGGGCTGCAGATTTAAGTGTATAGATACACATACAAATGACATCCATGACTTAATGTTTTCCAGACAGGAACCTGGGATTTAAAATAAGTTTACACTGTCCCTGCTGTACTTTCGTACCATCGAATAATTACATCATCCCAAATAAAAGCGAAGAACTAGAAGCAAGATTTGCAGGTAACTGAAACTTTGTCATATGAGGTAGAGGAGGGAAGGAACTTTACTGATAATCTCTTGGGGCATTAAGTCAGTTTGTATGTGAAAATGGGATTGTTTGGTGAGGTTTGGGGAATTTTCTGGGGCAATGATACAGTGGTAGAAAGATAGGTAAAGGCAGAAAGAGCTGAAAGAAAGAGATTGGTTCCCAGCTTCCACTATTCAATGGCCTTTGGTGACTTGGTCGATACTAATAGGCTCATTATCCCCCCCCCGAACTATTCAATACCAGTTAAGCACTTAAATCTTAATTTGAGCAAGCTAACTTTCCATCAACACTAATATGGAAGCAGAACATGCATTCAAAAAAATCTAATAATATCAAACCCCTGAACCAAATGTCAGGAACCAACAACTATATTTCACAGAAAAAATGGAGTTCCCTCATGCCATACCTTGTATAGCTAGGCTTCCATGTATTGGAACGCTCCATCTTTTCTAGTTCATATGCCATAGTTCGAGCAGTTTCCTAATCAGATTTTTATAATTGTTTGGAAACACAAAGCAGGGTTTTCATTTTCTCCATGTTCACCTTTAAGTGAGCTAAACAAAAATTAAGGAGAATAAGGAGATGTCAAGAGTTCTTGCATTGGATAATGAGTTGTTAGATGATGGGATATGAGAGGGATTCTGTGCCCATATGCTGGTATAGCATCAGCCCACACTGCCAGATCAGGGAGCTGATTTTCCTTCCCTGCTAACATCACTGAGAGCTCCATCCACTTTTAGAAGGCTACAGTGGCCCTTGCTCATGGAAAAATACTCCCAGAGGTGCAGAGATTTATTTCAGTCTCTAACCTAGTCATGGTTCTCTAGAGTGTGGAGATTAAATGCTTAAACTGGCAGTCTCCTGAGCATGCTTTGGGGAGCTCAAGTTTCTAAATCTCAGATGGAATCAGGGAAGTGTTGAGGATGCCATAAAATAAATGAAAAAGCCCTTTCTTCACAGCTTCCCAAAATAGCACTAGGTAAGGGTGACTTCTGTTTCACTCGAACCTAATTCACTGCAATTTAGCTAAGTCTCAGTTTATGTTCATTAGGAAAGTCTTTTGAGTTTAGTAGTCTTAGGAAGAGTGTGAACCAGCGGGTGACAAGGCATGTTCTATTGCTCTGTGTTCAGTTGTTGAGGGTTTAAACATAGCCTAAACCGAGGATTGACTAAAATAAACTGCCTAGATTGCCCTTGGAGTATAGGTCAAAGACTTCTTCTGTAGTGAGTTTCATAACATCCCTGCCTTTGACAAGAGCGCCATTTAGAAGCACTAAGTGTCATCTGTGGTGGTCCTATTGTGCCATGTCTATCCCCGGGGGAGTGACTATAACCAACTGATGCAACTGTGGTGGTCATCACTGCTGTTTGTGACAATATACTAAGGAAAGAAAATATGGCTAATGTTATTTGATGAAGGTAAAGCTAAATGTTTATTACCCAAATGCATCTCTTTAAGGTATTGATGGCACCTCCACATATACCAGTGGTGATCAGAAAACTATAAAGTCCACTAGGAAAAAAAACAGTGGGAAGACCCCACATCTACTGCTAATGTTATTGCCCTCCTACAGACTTGAGTCACAACAGTCCAACCGGCGGAAGAAGCGTGCTTTGGATGCTGCCTATTGTTTTAGGTAAAGGAAATAAAAATAAAACAAAGAAATTGCATTTGCTCAACTCTCATACTGCCTTTGTCTTTCTTTTATTGCATACTGATCTGAATCCTGAATTGAACTCATTGTTAAAGGCCAGATATAGTACAATATAGCTAGTGTTATCTCATAGCATAATTTTTCACTGAGGCTTAAAACAGTTATTTCTGTGTTGTATTCATCAGCTCTTTAGCAATGAACCAAATGTGAAGGGACAAAACTAGCCCTCTGGGACCAGCAGTTAGTATAATGGCTATGTTGCTGAACTCCCATGTAGTCGACTGCAGTTCGAGTCCCGGACCCAATGGCTTAAACTCATGCTGGCCGCGTGTGTGTGCGTGCCCAAGATCCCAAGAGGAGATTGGAGGAGAAGGGACTGTGGCGTGGTCATCCCCCCTGGGGGGTGATTTCTTGCTTTCTGTCTCTCTCTCTTTCTCTTTCTGGTGAGTTCATATGCCACATAGCAAAAATTTCTAAAAAAAAACCAAAACTAGCCCTCTGATTTCTTCCCCCAAATCCCTCTGAAGTATTTTATTGGTAAAGGAAGAAAAGAGCTCTCTGCTCCCCAGAGCCAATATAAGTTTATTTGAGGTATGTGATGGTGATTCCTTAATTAAGGAAGACCCACCATCTGTATGAAGTCTTCAATCTCACTTCAGAGTGCCCATAGTCATACCTTTCTCCCTGTGACACAGATGAGACAGCAAAAGAGTGCTATTAGAAAAATAATAATAATATTTATTTATTTATTTATCCCAGGAGAAAGAGAGAG